TATTCTGTTTTCTGACCCTTTGGGGGGTCTTCCACTTTGTGCTTTTGAGGAATCAGGTTTAGGTTTATTTTTGGCTTTACCAATTTGTTGACCAGTAGATGACGATTGAGACTTTGAACTTGACTGAGACTGTTTACAAGAAGATGACGCTGACTGCTTTTCAGACATAACAGGACGTGAGTCTGTAGTTTGAGAAGACATTGCAGGGTACAAGAGCTCTGGAGAATCGCTTTTGACCTAAGTCAAATTTGTTTGACAGCTTGTGGACAATTTGGGCACTTTAGAGCTTGACTCAGATGGTGTTGCGGTTACTGAAGCATATGTTTACTTAAGTTCAGAACTCTTTACAAGTTTTTTGGCTTCGGAAAAGCTAATGTTTTGGGTAAATTTGATCTCGTTAATTTGCATTTGTTCTTTCCAAATCGGACAATCTTTGGAGAAGGAGGAATGTTCGCCTGAGCAGTTGGTGCATTTTTTTAAATCACTGGTACAATCTTCTGTTGTGTGTGCCTTCTCACCACAGTGAGCACACACAACAGACAATGTGCAAGTATTTACACCATGTCCATATTTCTGGCATTTAAAACACCTGAGCGGGTTGGGGATGTAGGTGTCAACTTGGACGTTACAATAACCTGCCTTCAGTGATTTTGGAGCATTTGGGAATGAAAAGGAAAACAGATATGTATTAGTTTTGAAAATTTCATTGTTTTTCCGAGTTGTAAAACTTTTGACATAAGCACGCCTTGGTCCTTCATTTCAGACCCTATGTCAAGTTCCGACATGTCAGCAAACAATCTGTCACGATCTCTGACAATGCCTTTGCTCGTGTTGAGTGTTTTGTGAGCAGTGACCGTGACCGGAATACCGACAAAGGTTTTCGTGCTCAGAAGGTTTGTGGCTTGATGTCTTTTCGCACACTCAACAAGTAGAGCACCGGCAATACCTTGTATACCCTTCGAGACGGCAAAAGGATTCAATTTCGATGGTGTCAAGTCAACAGTTTCAAGTAGAAGAAAACGTGGCCAATAATCAAGTGAGTTGCGCAGTCTATGATCAGTCTCAACAGGATCAGTGTCAAGTGTACGCTTGGTTTTTTTTATGGGGGTTTCATAAGCCATGTTTAGTTTTTTAGAATTCATCATCCGAGCTCCCCATCCACCACGGAGTATCACAAGGACAATGCTAAAAACAAGTGGATTTCCAACTTGCAGCACCATGGATACCCGGATGATATACTCCAGCAGAAGAATTAAAAGAATTCCACCAGATTGGCCCATGAGCCACCGCCTTCTGGGCATAAGACTCTAGGCAAAGTTCATAACATCATATTTCAAAATCACAAACGTTTTCGATAAACAAGTAAGCCCGAAATTCAAACAATTCCAAATCAAATTTGTGCAATGACATATATATATATATAGTCTATACACAGGGCTTGGCGTGACCAGCCGATTGATAGAACCAGGCCAGTTCTACCACCCGTCTAGGTGAAGTCAGGGCCGAAGTGGTGTGTTGGGCAAAGGAACACTGTTCCTGGAACCAGTGCCCTCAACCACCAGACTACCTTCCTCCACCGACACGGGGGCACAACCCATGGCAAACGGGTTGGTGGACCAAATATTCCCCTGGGTCCACAACGGGGGTTTGAAGGGTGACCCAGCACCCACCACGAGGAGGTGGCCCTTCATGGGTGCCAGACGAAACAAGACATCCAGAGTCTTGACCGCCTGACCAGAAGGATCATGTCTGATAACAGAGCCCACCACCATCGTTCCTCTCTTAACCGTGAATATATGCCAATCAATTCTGGAGGTCGGGGTTTGATTAATGTGGAAGCTCTTCATGATAGAATTTTATTGTGTACTTTTGCACATATTTATTTATCGGATGATCCTCTGGTGATGCATGTGAACACTCATGATGAAAGCAAGGAATTCCACAGCTATTTTAAGCGTGCCAAGGGTGTTGGACTGAATCTGAGATTTGAGGTTGATGGCGATGTACTGCTGGACGGTACAATGATGGGAGTAAACCAGGTGAAGTCCTTAACCAAGTCTGCCCAGAGTCGGTCTTTTGTGGAGAAGCTGTCTGAGAAGCCATTGCATCGTGTGTACTTGCAGTGTGTTGAAAAGAATAGCAATCCCACCGACTCCTTCGCTTGGATGAAGTCGGCTGGTCTTAAATGTGACTGGTCCTTTTTGCTGCTCAGGACCAGTCACTACCCACTCGCAATCGCCTAAATGTGATTCTTAAAGAAAATATCAACATGAAATGTCGACTTTACAATGAATTCACAGAGACTGTCCAACACCTTGTCAGTGGATGCCCTTCCTTGGCACAAACAGCATATCTTAAACGACATGATGGCATGGCTCGTTGCTTTTACTACCGTCTCCGACATGCCTGTGGCTTTGACTCCGAGGTCCATCCATGGTACGACCCTGAACATGTCCAGGGCGTCATGGAAAATGATGCTTTCAAACTTCTCTGGAATAGGCCCATATACAGCCTGAGGAGAATTTCAGCTAACAAACCTGATCTTGTCCTTCTTGATAAAGCCAATGAATTTATTTATATCATTGAATTTTCTGTCCCTTTTGACACCAATGTGATTGGCAAGATTCAGGAAAAGCATATTAAGTATGCAGACCTCGCCTTTGAAATGTCTAGCTTGCATCCCAAGTACACTGTCGTCAGGCTCCCCATTGTTCTCGGTGCTCTAGGTTTACTACCTCCTGATCTCTTGGCGCAGATCAAGAGAGTGCCCGGGTTCTCATCCGGGAGCACAGCCCTTCTGACACTCCGGGTAATGCAGAAGGCTGCAGTGTTGGGGAGCCTTCATATTCTCCGGAAAGTTCTTGGTGGGTTCAACTAGGCAGTGTTTCCTGGGAGAAGTCCCATTCGCTGTCTGGGCTGCGTGTAGAGGGGGCAAGGGCCCTGAGCTGATGATGAGCCTTACGAGCCTGACTGTGCCAGGATCACCCGAACCCTCTCTGCTGCATATTATCTTTAATCTGGAAAACAGAATAATAGTGAATTTATATAGCGCAGTAATCCATGCTCAATGCATGCTCTAAGCGCACCTATATGTGGGTATTAAGAGTCATTTTAGAAAGGCAGTATTAAATAAGTAGGTTTTTAGCTGAGATTGGAAAAAGGCAAGAGTTGAAGACTGTCTGAGATTGAGCGGGAGATTGTTCCAATCCTTTGCTGCATTGAAAGCAAAGGAACGTTGTCCATAGTTCACACATTTCACAGATGGAACTTGCAACAAGAGCTTGTTTTCTGACCGCAGTGATCGAGCTGGTTTGTACCCCATGATCAAATCACACAGATATTGTGGAGCTTCTTCAGACAGGCATCGATACACATGACACAAGATCTTATAGCTGATTCTCTGTCGGATGGGCAGCTAGTGTAGGTCATGTAAGATTGGGGTGATGTGGTCGTACTTCCTGCAGCTGGAGACTGTCTGAGCAGCTGTATTCTGGATGTGCTGTAGCTTGTTGGTGACAGACTTGGGTGCATATCTGTACCGACGTAATTAGATCATTCATGGAAGGTTTCAGCTTCATAAGTCATATAGTTTCAGAGGACGCAACAAACAGTAAAAATACGAAAACTACAGCAAGGAGTCAGATAATGCATTTGCATGGAAATGTGTGTGACAACAACATTTTCAACATGTAACATCATTATTATCGCATGATAAAAGCATGAGAATTCATTGCTGGAGAAAACGTCAAGCACAATGTGCTCAACGAGCACTGGACAGTGACGAGTATGGGAGGGTTGAGAGGGTTAAGAGCAAAGAGCACAGGACAGTGATGAGTAAGATTGAGAGTACTGAACAGTCACGAGTAGAAGAGAGGGTGGGTGGCTTTGAGAGCACTTGACAGTGATGAGTGTGGGTTACGAGCACTGGACAGTGACAAGTATGAAAGGGGTGAGATCAAAGAGCATAGGACAGTGAAGAGTAAGGGGGGGGGGGGGGCTTTAAGAGCACTAGACAGTGACATCAAGGGTGCGTTAGGAGCACTGGACAGTGACGAGTAAGGGAGGGGGGCTCTAAGAGCACTGGACAGTGACGAGTAGGGGAGTTTTTTTTTAAGGGCACTGGACAGTGACAAGTAGGGGGCTTTAAGAACAGTGGACAGTGACGAGTAGGGGGATGTTAAGAGCAAAGGCCAGTGACGAGTACGGAGGCATTAAGGGCACTTGACAGTAACGAGTAAGGAGGCGTTAAGATCATTGGACGATGACGAGTAGGGGGGTTAAGAGGACTGGACAGTGACAAGATTGATTCTTCGACCTGGTGTCAGATCACTGTCTTGACAGACAAACCAAGTAGATATGACCAACTCATGATGTTAAATGAAGGTCACAGATGTTTTCTTGGGTGTGCCGCCTCTGGCACACTAGATTAGAACATAACTCGGCTACATTGCAGTTATATGGTGGCGGTCTGTAAATAATCAAATCTGGACCAGGCAGTGCACTGATGAACATCATGAGCATCGATTCCATATACAGGAATGGAGTACGATGACATGTGCCAATCAAGTCAGCGAGCTTGACCAGCCAATCCCGTTAGTCGCCTCTTACGACAAGCATGGGTAGCTGAAGACCAATTCTAACCTGGATCTTCACGGGTCATGATAATGATACGCACAACGATTCTCTGGGTATATAGAACTAACTGCACGAACTTAAAATGTTCTGTTTATCTAATAGCAAAAGTACTCTTGGTGGTCTGGTACCGCCTTTTGAATATTTTTGTCGCGAGCTGCCTCCTGCATCAACATGTCCCCTCAGATTCCCTTGGTGTTGTTGCAGCTTTGATTTGGCTTCTGTTTCTATGATAAAGTTCACGGTGTATTTCTGGTTCACATGAAGGTTCCACGCATAAACATGTCACACAGAAGGGACACACATAAGGACATAATCCACACCTTTGTTATGTTTGTGATAAGGAAGTTGACATCCATAAATTATCTCCCGTATGAATCCTTTGTTTACTGTTCTGTTTCTTGTTTCCGAAACAGACGGTGCTTTTATAGTACGATCATAAACTCATGCTTCCTACATAGTCAGAACTGCACAATGCACACTGTTTTTTTCGTTCTATTCATTCTCAGATCAACGTGCTGCAACTATGTCGCTGCTGTGTGCAGATCATCGGGTCAAACTAACTGTGGTTAGTGTTGGTTTTGTATTGTTGCTGATACAGTCGTGGATATATACTTTCTCGATTAACATTAATAGAGCATAGTCTTGCTTTGTCGATTTTGTTCCTTGTATATTCGTCCTTATCAACTGAAAACCTCGAGGAAATGGACATCCAGTTCGAAAATGTTAAACGATTCACCATCACATACACCATATCTTGTCCAGAAATCATTTCACTGGTTATCAGTCGAATTCATATTTCTGCCTATTTGATCATGGTATGTCTCAGCATTGGTGCTGTAATGAGAAGGTCTTGGATCATTCTGGTTGTCAATTTCTGAAATTTCTATAGGCTGTCTGCTTTGCTGAGGGAAGGCTGTCTGTCGTGATGTCAAGGCAAACGTTGTTCTTTATTTAGCAGTTGTTCACCTTCGAGTGATTGATCCCGCACATACACCATATCTTCTCCAGGACTCATATCACTGTTATCAGTTTAATTCTATTCCTCGTTGTATTACAAACAACTGAGTGAGTAAACTATGGCATTCAATGGATCAACAGTTTACGGTTATGATCCGTTGGTATATGTCTGGAATGTCATGCAACTATGAAATGAATTACGTTTCCCCAACATCAATCTCATGAGATGCATAATCGTCTGTTCGCGTGTCCGAGGTCGGCTTGGCTATGATATGACTGCTGGTAAAAGTACATCCGTTGCCAGTCAAACCAGTAATTGAAAAAAGTAACAACCCATCCAGACTAAGGCGTTACTCAATCAGACATTGGTGTACGCTCTTACACAACAATACAACCATCATAGACAATAGGTGGTGAGGTCATTCAAAAGCTATACGAAAGTATGTTTGTCTATGTCACTGAGGTCTTCTAAACTCGGATTAGGCATGATGAAGACCATGTAACTGTTCTGTTGATTTCTGGCTCTTGTAAGTTCGTTACTTGACAGATGATCATAACTTGGATCTAGGGACCTTCTGGCTCCTGGTGTTTTTGGTTTTCCTTGGTTTGTGAGGTATGATTCACACACAAGCTCATTGCCAGCATTTTGGTTGTGTTTCGGAAAGCTTTTGTGTCTAGTTGATGAATCGTGGTTAGTGATGTATGGAGTATTGGCAGGGTCCCAGTATTGGTAAAAAGGACTGGGCCTTTGTTCACTTGCGTTTGTGCTTTTGTGTCTAGTGGATGTATCTTGGTTAGTGATGTATGGAGAATTGGCAGGGTCCAAGTGTTGGTAAGAGGGACTGGGCCTTTGTTCACTTGCGTTTGTGCTTTTGTGTCTAGTTGATGTATCTTGGTTAGTGATGTATGGAGTATTGTCAGAGTCCCTGTGTTGGTAAGAGGGACTGGGCCTTTGTTCACTTGCGTTTGTGCTTTTGTGTCTAGTTGATGTATCTTGGTTAGTGATGTATGGAGTACTGGCAGGGTCCCAGTACTGGTAAAAGGGACTGGGCCTTTGTTCACTTGCGTTTGTTCTTTTGTGTCTAGTTGATGTTTCTTGGTAAGTGATGTATGGAGTACTGTCAGAGTCCCTGTGTCGGTAAGAGCGACTGGGCCTTTGATCACTTGCGTTTGTGCTTTTGTCTCTTGTTAAAGTATCTTGGTAAGGGATGTATGGAGTACTGGCAGAGTCCCTGTGTTGGTAAGAGGGACTGGGCCTTTGTTCACTTGCGTTTGTGCTTTTGTGTCTACTTGATGTATCTTGGTTAGTGATGTATGGAGTACTGGCAGGGTTCCAGTATTGGTAAGAGGGACTGGGCCTTTGTTCACTTGCGTTTGTGCTTTTGTGTCTAGTTGATGTATCTTGGTTAGTGATGTATGGAGTACTGTCAGAGTCCCTGTGTCGGTAAGAGCGACTGGGTCTTTGATCACTTGCGTTTGTGCTTTTGTCTCTTGTTAATGTATCTTGGTAAGGGATGTATGGAGTACTGGCAGGGTCCCAGTATTGGTAAGAGGGACTGGGCCTTTGTTCACTTGCGTTTGTGCTTTTGTGTCTAGTTGATGTATCTTGGCAAGTGATGTATGGAGTACTGGCAGGGTCCCAGTATTGGTAAGAGGGACTGGGCCTTTGTTCACTTGCGTTTGTGCTCCTGTCTCTTATTGGTGTATCTTGGTTAGTGATGTATGGAGTATTGTCAGAGTCCCTGTGCTGGTAAGAGGGACTGGGCCTTTGTTCACTTGCGTTTGTGCTTTTGTGTCTAGTTGATATATCTTGGTTAGTGATGTATGGAGTACTGGCAGAATCCCAGTATTGGTAAGAGGGACTGGGCCTTTGTTCAATTGCGTTTGTGCTTTTGTGTCTAGTTGATGTATCTTGGTTAGTGATGTATGGAGTACTGGCAGGGTCCCAGGGTTGGTAAGAGGGACTGGGCCTTTGTTCACGTGGGTTTGTGCTTGTGTGTCTTGTTGATGCATCTTGGTTCGTGATGCATGGAGTACTGGCATGGTCTCTGTGTTGGTAAAAGGGAGTGGGTCTTTGTTCACTTGTGATTATGCTGTGTGAATCAGTCAAAACACTACTTCCGCGAGTACTGTTCTGGTCTCTGAGAGGCCTCTTGACCTTATTTGTGCCATTTTTATCATAGCGTGTCTCAGCATTGGTACTATAATGAGGAGGACTTGGTTCATTCTGGATGGCAATTTCTGAAACTTCTGTTGGCTGTCTGCTTTGCTGGGGGTAGGCTGTCTGTCGTGTATATCTGTCCGCTGCCTCGTCCCTGTTTGTGCCGAGTGAAAGTGTCATGTGATCCAAATCTCCAGTATGACATTCTTCATACATTGCTTCTGCTATTTTCGCCATTTGCCTGTGATTACTGGATTTGGATGTCTGAGAATCGGTATATTGTGAATAAAGATCCCGTTGCACTGTGCTATCTTTGAAGCTGGAAGACAAACATGAAACTCAATATTTATTTGTAAGCCATATGACTGGATTATTGAGGATCACATTACAAACAAACACGTGTGAACAGATTAGATTTTGTATATTTGTATTTTATAAGAATTCGTACAGGAACAATTAAATCATGCTTGTGAACGTATTATTCATTAGTAGCACTTAACGTCCTTTTCATACCAGTCACAATCATGTTCACTGTCTTGCGTATGGAATGCTACCCACGATAGTGTATTCCTTTCAAATGCAATCTGGTGAAGTGGGGAAGTTTATCGTACAATAAAACAACTATAGTCTGGTTGAGAACGTTTCGTGACGGTGTTTGTTTGGTCACTTTACTTAAAGACTACAAGTACTGATCAGAACAGCCACCTGGCCATTCATTGATAGTGACACAATGCACATTTGCATGGCCAGATGGCTGTTCCGATTAGTTACCTAACGCCCTTGACAAGTAAGATGTTATTGTGTCTTGACAACTTTTTTATTATTAAATCATAATTCATGAAATTCAAAATTCACAATGGTAGAACAATTATACAAAATCATGTCAAATTACAAAACGATTGTACGCGGAGTTTTTGAGTGAAGTGACCCAACACCGTCACGAAACGTTTTCTGCCAGACTATAGATGTGTACATACATGTTTATCATGTGAATGTCAAGTTGGGCTAGTTCCATGGTAATAGGAGAACAGCAAAATAAATACCCACCCTGGAATCTCCGGTGTCGATGACCTAGACACTACATCAGCTGTAACAATGGGTTCAATCATAATGTTAAATGTGAAAAGAATGATGAGCCGTTGACAGTCAGTTCTCACAGAAATGAAATGCTATTCATAATATTTTTTTGTTCTAACATGAGCTGCTTAATGCGGAAAATAAGAATGTTCGCAGTTGCCGCAGCGAAAATCGTGATGTATCTTCAGTAATAAAATACTAATACCAATAAAATGCTTATAAAAAGCAGTAAGTATCTGCCTGAATACGTCACAATCTTTACTGGATATAAATGAGGCATAGATTGAACTGAACATCCTCTCCAATCAAAAGTAGTAAACATATACTTACTCCCCACAGAATACGGCTGCATGTCTTCATCTCGTGAATATATACTGAACGATTCCAGTGTTGATATCTGGTACTTAGAGTCAGCACGGCGCAGTGTGTTCTTTAGTTGTTCCTCTGTCCTTCTAATGTTCAAACAAACGAGGTCCATCAATTCGTTGCGTCTTTCTTCATCCTGCGCCTTTGCACTGCAGTTAACAACACTTGACGCCAAGGTTCTTCGTGCAGCTGCAGCCTCTGTCGTCTCTGAACAGAATCATACCACTTATGCATATTAGTACAGCATTAATCAGCTCGTCATCTCTGAGGACAATGATGCCTATCACTTTAAGCACATACATATGGGTAAGTTTTCAATCAGCTCGTCATTTGTGAGGGTAAGTTAAAATTTGATGACGTCATGTCAGCATTATTTCAGCCAAACAGTAATGCGAACATGTTCTCACATGTACACAAGTCCATTATACACATTTCACATTCATTCGAAAGCAATATATAATTTTTTCAACATCAAAGTATTACTTATGGTGGCTGATTCGGGCCATTGCTTTATCGCCCAGAAAAATCTAGGCGATATCGCGAAAAAGCGATATGACGACACGATATAGAGATACAGTGAAAAACAAAATAGCGATAACACTACACGATATGGCGAAAACCCGACTCGACATGGTGACAACGATATGGCAAGACACGGTATGGCAATAACACAACACGAAATTGCGATAACACAACATGAAATTGAGAAAGGACGACATGAAATGTCGAAATGGCGATATTGCGATATAGCAATACTGCGATAAAGCGAAATTGGGATAATGCGAAATGGTTACGTGACATGGCGAAACAGCGATACTGCAATATTGTGATAAAGTGATATATTTGCTTGGCACATTGGTATTATTTACTTATTTATAGACATAAGTAGAAAACTCTTTTACAACTTTTCGTCTATAATGATATTTTCCTTTCTTTAAACGCAACCATCATTCTTAAAAATAAAACCTTCAGTGGTCGATTTCCCATAACATCAGGCACATCGATCAGGCACCTTAAGAGCTCAAATCTATTCTGACGAACTCTGATAGACTACAGAGTTCTCATGAGCATGACATGGACAAGTATCACAGTTTGGAATATGTCATCATTCATCGTGCTTTTGGATGAGTTATTTCAGCAGAATGGATGGTTTACGAATGCGTTTATCTAACATACTTCCCGTATCTTATTATTAAATCATAAGAATGATACAACTTACCCTCTTTTCTACATATCGCCATAATGTTGTTGTATCGCCATATCGCCATTTCGTGTCATGTTATCGCAATGTCATGTGGAGTTGTTGCGATTTCGTGTTGCGTTATTGCCATATCATGTCTTTCGTTTTTGCCTGTATTGCAATATTGCTATATCGTGTCGCCATATCGCAATATCGTGTTGTACTATTGCTCTGTTGCGATATTGCCTAGATTTTTTCAGTTCGATAAAGCAATGGCCCGAACCAGCCACCATAACCTACAGACATGAGAAATTCAAATTTGGTATTCATTTTGTATGAATATCAGCTACGTTTGTTCTACTTTTGCCTTTCTTTCTTTTCTTTTATTAGAGTATATTTTACTATTCTTTGTTAAGCAGTATATAACTTTTAGAAAAGGAACGAAACTTACCCTTTCGAAATAGAATTATACCCCCTTTCCACGACGACAAGAGCACATCGCCTTCTTCCAAGTTCTCATCAGCATCATTCCTGCCGTAAGTGATCGAGATGGACAGGTTTTGTGCTTTCCTGAAAACATAGCAGAAATTTATGCAATTGGTTTCATTAATTAGTGATTATATTATTTAGCTACCTTTGGTGACAGCTGCATTTCAACTCATCTCATTCACTGATGACACGAGAGAGAGGTAATGTTGGTATGCTTACTTGCAACACAAGCATCTGCAGAAATGGTCTTACATACTACCAGCAATTATACAGTTATGAGGGCTAAGGGCGGTGCTTGGATAACTCGTGTTGCAGACATGTCATTTACAATCCTTACGTAATGTACATTGTGTGCTAACATCATTTATACGTTGAATACGTTATACACTTTGTAATGATGCTGTCTATATAATAGATGCGTTCTATTTCAATATAGTAACGCACTGGGCATGTCCTTTCCTGAAAAAGAGGAAATATTATCACCTAGTAAAGACGCAAGTTTTGCGTGTACTAGATTTGAGAACACTAAAAATCCGAGTGCAAGAAAATTGTCAAAAGTCATACAGGATCCTGTGCCCCACTCAGCATAACTAATAGGACTGTGTTTTCAAATATTCAATTCAGAACAGGACATTGAAGTGCCATATATTGTGGACAGAGTTGAGTTGAGTTGGGCTTTACGTCACATCGGCATTATTCCAGCCATATAGTGACGAGAACAAGTCTGCATTAATATACATTGTAAGTACAAAGTGGTTTCGTTTCAAAGACATACATTCATTACGTTGTCATTTTAGAACAGAGAATGTCATAGCACTAGATTGAAAAGCAGGTACATTCGTTATTAACATTACACAGTTACATTTTATGATATAGATCGACTTCCCTCAGGTAGTTTAGTATCAGATGAGCGCTCACGCTTGAGAACAGATCTTTCAGATTGGTTGCGTGATAATGCGAGTCCCTTGCAGATGTAAAATCCACACAGTCAAGCAGAATATGCTTGACAGTGAGAGCCTCATCACAGGAGAGACATATGTGGGGGTCCATCCCCATCTGTTTTTAGCAGATAGTCATGTGAAAACCGACTGTGGCCAATACGACATCGTTGTAAAATTACTTCATAATTTGACTGGTTTCTTTTCTTGTTGGGTTTGATAGTTCTGGAACTGAGGGTTATAATTTGATGAGGAGGAGTGGTTTGCCAAAGTTTTGCCAAGTTTGTTTGCAATTTCAGATTTATTTGTTAGAAGGGAGTCGCCATCTTTCAGGTGGTGAACTCCTGATTTTGACCCTTTGCCCTTTATCTTTTGAATCATGTTCCACACCTTGGACATGGGTGTGCGGGAGTTGATTTTGGACACATATTTCCTCCATGAGCGGCGTTTAGTTTGTTTGAAGGTACGTTTTGCCCTGGCATTTGTCATTTTAACAGCATTCAGGTTATGCACTGTAGGATGTTGTCGGAAATATTTTCCGAATGGTAGGAACTGTACCGACGGATGTCAAATTTATCGGTCCTTTTTAGGTAGGTTTCTTGGAGACAAAACGCAGATGGTTTGAAGTCTTGAATCAATAACTGTAATTCATTATAATTATTCTTAAGTCCTCTGCAATTCCATTGGATAATGTTTTGTGGATTCATGGTGCTTCCACTGGTGACATGTCATGTGAACGTGAGAAAGCATTTGATGAACTCCTATTGGTGTCTGGTGGAGATGGAGTTACCTCCATATACAGAGGGCCAAAGGAGTTATGGACCTCGATGGGGACCTCTGAAGGAGAGGTGGCCTTTGGTTTTGTGTTTGGCGGTTGTTCGAGTTGCCTTAGTCTCTCTAGCCTCTTTTTTTCCCTTTTTCTGCGCGCAGTTTCTGTCTCTGGTTTTGACATTTGCTCTGGTGTTTGTGATCCAGAGGTTTTGACTTTTGGCGTTGGAGATGGAGTTGCTGAGATTGGCTCAGTTGTGTTGAGTTCAGTTGGCTGAGAAGACATGATCCATGTCAGGTCGGTCTGGCATGAGATGGTTGCAGTAGTGATAGTAGGACGGGAGACAGCAGAAGAGTAGGTGATGGCTGAAGGGGCTGCAGTTTAACTTGCAACCCTCTTCTTTGCTTCGTGAAAGGAGATATTTTCTTTGTGCTTGATCTTTAGTATCTCGGATTCGCGTTTCCATACTGGACAGAGCTTGGAAGAGGCCATATGGTTACCACCGCAGTTTGTGCACTTCACTTCCTTAGTACAGTCGTTGCCCTAATGCTTGTCACCACACTGGTAACAGACAGCCCGGGGAACGACAGGACTTGGATCCATGTCCAAACTTTTGGCAGTTGTAGCACCGGAGTGGATTGGGCACATACACCTCCACACCAATGCTACAATAACCAGCTTTAATCGAGTCAGGGATGTTTGCTCGCGCGAACGTGAAGAGATAGGTGTTCGTTGGTTGAACAACACCATCCTTTTTGAAGGTGAATCGTTTTACGTCTGTGACGGATTGCTGAGAGAGTTCCTTGACAATTTGTTCTTCAGTCATGTCAGACAGGCATCGAGCTCTGTCCCGTACAATGCCTCTACACGAATTAAGGGTTTTGTGTGCTGAGACAGCGACCTTGATGTTAACAAATTCTTTTATTTTGAGGAGATTCAAGGATTGTTGTTTCCAGGTGCATTCTATCAGGAGAGAGCCAGATAGGAGCTTTGTAACATTGGCAACCTCTCCGCAGATACCAGCGATACCTTTGGAGATTGCAAAAGGGTTCAATTGCAAAGGTTGCTTGTCACAAGCCTCAATGATCAGGAAACGTGGCCAGTAGTCAGGTCGGAGGGGCGTACTCTCGTCAGACGAGGAGTTGTCAGTCTCCATGTGTCTTCGTTTTGAACCGGGGAGTAGTATATACAATGGGGGTTTTGGACCAGGTCCAACAAAAGCCTTTGCAAAGCCTTATTTCCCAGATAAGGCTTTGGTCGGACCCTTAGCTCTTGCTACCATTACCCCTACTATAAAAAAGTTTGGGACGCTAGCGGGATACGAACGCCCAATGTTACACCTCCTAGCCGCACCACTTAACTGACAGAGCTACCGGGGACATGGTTGAAAGAAGTTGGTTTAACGGGTCTATCCTGGGATTGCATCATCCAATACTGGGCTGCGTCTAACGTGCCTCTATGACACTATTGTGCCGCTATGCCATGTTTACCTTGATGAAACAGTTTAATGTGAATCGCCTATAATCTCTTTGGTGTTTGTAATAAAGGCTTGCTGGGCTTTTTTCACCCCTTGTTCTATGTACTTTTTTTTCTCGTCCTCACTGATAGCAGACTTACGAGACTTGGATCGAATCTCTTGTTTCATTTTATTATATTTTGTGAGTTCAGAGAGTATTGAACAAAACTCCTCCTCTTAGATCTTGTTGTCAGTGAGTGACGTGGAAATACGCTCACTTACTGTGTTCAGCTTTGCTTCGGCCAGAACCCTGATCTCGTGTTTCAATGCCTTACGATGCAGTCTGCGTGAAACTTAAGCACCAACCCTAAGACCCCTGCCACCCCAGTTGTTATTTCAATGCCTAGCACTACGGGGGTAGCCATGATGGTAGCTAACAACCCAACACCTGCCGCTCCTAGCCCCATGCTGGTTGCCATAAGGGCAGTGTCAGCCCCGTCCATGATATTGAAAGCTCTGTGGTACTTTTTACACAGTGCTTTCCGCGTGTCGCGGTCTTGTTCTAGCTGACGTTTCACATCACATAACTGTCTCAAGCTGAACCTGTCTACGGTTTCCAGGGCCTTCGCTACTTCCTCTACGACTGGGTACAGCCCCATCTTGTGTGCCTATAATATATCTGATTAAATATTTTTTAATTGATCTTCAGTTAATGACCGTCGAATGTACTTGAAGCTTATAAGCCTTAAATCTGTGTGCAGGGAAATAGGTGAGAGGCTAATAGGTAACACTGAGGTCACCCTAATCCCCTTGTAGTGTAAAGTGTCTCTAAAATCCTTTTTCGGGTCCATTTGTATAATGAAACGGTGGTGGACTATCCCATCTAAGTCTCCATAACGGCCCAGGGGGTTTACGGAGATGGAATTCCAGGCTATTGTCACCCCAGGTAAAAATTGTAGTTTTATAGCTTCAGGTGAGGATACACGGCGTCTGTGGAGACTGAATTCTATGATGAGTGTGAAGTTTCGGCTAGCAATCATAAGATCTTGACGGGGAGCGGGACCGTGAAACCTTAACTCCCCCCAGTTTGTCTCTAACATGTTGCTCGTTTCATCACGTGTTAGCCCAGGACGTATTATATTAGACCCCGGAATGAACTCCCCAGGCAAGACACCGTTGTTCGAAATTTTACAGATATTCCCATCTTGGTCTAACGAGATATAAGGTGAGGTGAGGGTAATGTTGAGAAACCATTTGGGTTCTAAAAAAGTGGTTGTGCAGGCGCCAATCGGCTATTTTTCATCCGCCTATACACGTTGTTTTTCAAGCGTAGGACGTATCAGGTGTTTTCCTCGCCAGGCTGATCGAATCCCTCTGTGTCTCCTAGGCCCCCGAGTGTGGGTTTGGGTAGATGATCGGCTATTGCCGCCCGCCTATACACATTGTCTTTTAAGTGTAGGACGTATGAGCCTTCCTCACCAGGCTGATCGAACCCCTCCGTGTCCCCTAGGTCATTAAGCGTAGTGTTGGGACGATGACTGGTCATTGCTATAATACTACTACGATATAGTTTCCAACTGGTTTTCTGATAATAGTTCAGGGGGTGAACTTCACCCCCATGAAGTGTATGTTGTCAGGTAGGAATATCTTGGTTATTGATATCATGTTTTCCACGATCATGGTGACACCCTGCAGACTGGTGTTGGAGCCCACACCCACCCGCACGTAAACTGTGCAAACGTGATACTGGTGTCGTTTCGCCCGACCGAGTTTGATCCCCTTCACGATTTCAACATCACCCTGTGATGGCTCCCCTAGGTAGACTTTGATGATCAGTGTTGAGTTCGCCGGTAGACTCTCCAGGATGTTGACCATGCCTTCGAATTCAGACACCAACTGCAATACCACGTTTTGCATCCCGGGGTTTACCCGATAGCATGTGGGCTGCCATACTGGCGACTGGGCTGATGACTATGCTACGTCTCTGAGTCGGGACATAAGCCATGAGCAGGGTTCCATTGTTCACGACTTTGTTTAAGTGGTTGTCTTTGTTATCCGTGAACACGTAGGGGGAGCCGAGCCTAATATTGAGAAACCAGTCGTCTTGATCGGGTAACAACACCCACTTGTCATCTTCAGTGAAGACGAGCGTATATGGCTTGTTTCGGTCGACGGTAGTGCTCTCAACATCGTCTAAGTCGAACAGTTTGCCCCCCGAACGATGGGTATATTATCCATTTATCATCCCCGGTGGTGACTAGTGTGTACCGAGTGTTGACTGTCGCTCTTGTGGTATCTACTATATCACCTAGGGCTCCACCGGAGGGGACTTCAACGCGCTTGTAAATGTTGTTTTTCAGTTGCAAGGCATACAATTTACCATCTACTCTGGGAGCGTCGAATCCACGTGTGTCCCCAAGGTCGGAGATCCCAACATCGACGCATTTTTTCACCCCGGGCCCTTGTGCGCTGGTCATTTTATGTGCAGCGTTAAGCTGAGGTATCCTATATTCATGGGATTATGATTTATATCTAACACCGATATTATCAGCTCAGGTATGTTGCCCTGAGCCAACCTCTTATACTGCCGTGGTGAAAACGACTCGGTTCTACCGTCGTTGTTTTTCTCCGTTTTCATCGGTACGGCTCTCAGTATAGTGGAAGGGTGACCCCCTTGAATGTTGTACGTTGTGCTCACCTGACCGAGATGAATGTACAGCTCTCGGTACGGTACTAGGTCGGGTAACTTCATGCCTGTGATGGTAGTTGTTGGTTTTATCTCGTCAGGCATCATACCGAGTGTCCTCGCCAATGGTCGACCGAGTCTCAAGGAGTTTCTTCCGTTTTTGATTAACACCACTGTACCGTTTGAGTCGTTCATCTTGAGTTCGGCTCCCAGGGGTTTGAAGACCTAGTCGCTTAGCGAGCACACGCTGTAGTAGCCGTCAGTTATCTGACTGCAAGCTCCACTGACGAACAGCTTATTGTTGCTGGTGTTGATGTTAGTCCATTGCGGTAGGTAGGTAGGTGATATCGCAGAGTGCGACTTCGAGTTGACCCGGCATATTATCGATCACGTGCGTCAGCTGAACGGCCTCACCGCTCGTTATTCGTGGAAGTGTTATGTACATGTTAGAGTATATATGCTCATTATATAATAGTTTTAAAATGTATTCCCCTGGAGTGTTTTACCCTAAACTGGACGTAGATTTCTCACCCATGAAGATCGCGGTTGCTGATGGGATGTATTTCGACTCCCAGCTTTTAGATGTGTTCGGCTTGTATAAGCTTTCGGTGACTGACGTCAAGGCAGTCCACGCTTGGTTCAACAACCCGATGCAGTTCTGGCAGAATCAACTCAACTTCGCTGTGTGGTGCGCTACAACGGGGTGTGGTGTGGCATTGACCGACACTCGGCGTAGGTCGCTGAGTCAGTCTGTGTTCACGTTCCACATGTACTACCTGGTCAGGCGTAACCTTAAAGAGATCAGCGCTCCACTCCCACAGGACAAGGCGTGGGACGCAGTAAACAACCAGTACGATAGACGGGCCTACGAACGTATTTGCAACGAATTCGAACCAAACCCGAAGACGGATTGGCGTTTGCCGGTGCCGAACCATGGGTTGGGTATTCCATATGATGGGGGGCGACCCGTGAAAGAAGTCAGTGATGAAACGAGATATACTACGTCGAGTTATGAATGGAGGGATGCCCATATGAACTTTAAAAGTGGTGTTGCTTTCACCGTCCAGAAAGTGGAGCAGTCAACCGCAGACGGTTGGAAAATGTTCATGCTGGACACGTAGAAAGGGTTTACTCGTGCTGGTGTCACCAGATTGAACGACTCTATTCGAATGTGTGGACGCTGTTGGGGGCTCAGATGCAAACGCGTTCCAACATCCACGGTAGGGGGACTGCTTACCACGCTCAGAAACAGTTCGTTGTTAACGTTGAGGATGCTATCAATTCTCCAGTTGATCTCCCGAGTGCCATCAAACGCTACCAAGAAGTGTTGGAATATGCCAGGTCGAAAGTCGACTACGTGTTCGACGTGGGGTTGTACATGGCTCCGAGCGATATGCAACTGAGAGTAAAAAAAGTGGTGGGCTACAACAATGAAATAGTCATAGCCACGGCAGACCAAAAGTTAGGCGTCAACCTCGATGTCAACGTCCCCCACGTCCCACCACCCACGACCGGTGAAACGGGTATAGTGGCGCCACCCCCGGAGCCTAGGGTGCAACCAACACCCCCTGTTGGGTCACCCACTGTGGGTTCACCCCCACAGCAGCAGCACATCGATCGTAAAACAGCCCCGGTGGTTGGTGGGGTAGCTTTGGGACTCATTTGGTTAAAAATTCCTTAGCCGCTACGTACACCAGAGACGCCACGGCGACGATGGCTGCCCACAGTTTTTGACTAAGCCACGTGGCAGTTTTATCCAAAGCACCCAACAACCACGAGACGATGCTACCCAGGATGCCGGGTAGGGCTTCGGCAGCCTTACCAGCCAGTTTAGCCAGGGCCTCCCCTAGTTTTTTTATCCAGATACCCCCACCACCGCCGGCAGTCGTTAATGACACCACCAGGGTTGATATGATGAAGCCCAATGCAGTCAGAATGCTGGCGTTAGTGATCCCTTGCTCCCGGAACAGTACCCAAATCCTGTCAGCTAGCGTGGTGTCCTGGTAGAGGACTCGATCAACGGTTTCCCGGGCACGGCTGACCTGGGATCGAAGCTGGTCTCGGAAGGAGGATGCCGTTTCCAGCCGGGTCTTCCTTTCCTCTTCCAAATTACGTATTCGTTCCTCGATGGTGGCTTTCAGAGACTCGTCCTCCGTTTCACCGAGTTTGACCTTTTCATGGGCGATATGGCCATCTATCGCGTCCAGTTTGGACGTGTTGTTCACTAGATGTCCGCGAATGGTTTGCATGGCCATGTCCAGCCCCCGTAGTTCCCGAATGGTAAATTCGAACCCGGGTAAGGGTTTGTTATGGTATGTGGTCAACAGCTTTTCAATGTTATCAGTCATGTCTTGATCCGATGTGGCGCCCCTGACGACTTGCAGATGTTGAATGGCCTCCTTGGGAAGGGCTTTAGGCTGTGCGCCACCGTAATCTATGAAGCCTAGTTCATCACGGATAAAGTCACTCCCATGGTGACTGCCGAGTGTTGATAAGGCAAGCGGTTCTCTAGTGTGCTTATTCATGAGATCGATCTCCGGGCGACCCCTCAGTCGCAGCGTGCCATTGTCATCAACAAAAAACTTGGAATAGTCTCGCCCCCACGGCTCTACGTAATTTTTATCCCCTTTTAAACCATCGTAAAACCCGTTGACAGCCTGCTTCACGAGTTCGTTGCCTTGCGTGAATGTGGTGTCTTCCTCGAATGCCTGGGCACTATAATCCCACATATCATCCATAGGTATGTACTCAGCCATTATTTAGTATTAAAACTTATATATTTCATTTATATAACAATGTACGGTAGAAAACTAGATCCTTTCAGAAGATCGAGAGAGCCACTAGGTGCCAGAGCCGTGCGCCAGTCGGTGACCATCACCAACAATCCCAGCAAGATAGACCAGAATCAAACGCTGCTGGTTAGATTCCCAAACCTTGGCGAGAATGACATCATTGTACCAGGCACGGTTCGACTGGCGTTCAACCTCACGTTGACCTCCACCAACGACAAACGCGAGCTAGTGCGGAACGTAGGTCGAGCCATCATCAAGAAAACCACCATCAAGATCAGCGGTAATGAGGTGCTGAGTATCGACGACAGCGACGTCTTTCACTGTTACGGGGACCTCTGGAAAAGCGAGGGAGAACGCGTCAATGACGTGTACCAGGGTATCAGCAAAT